ATTTCTTGCTTTCTTACTGCTTTTAGTTAAAAACCACAATCACTCGACTTAGGTTGCTAGATAATAAATAATCACGGAGTAGGCAGTAGATCTAGGCCCCGGGTTGACAAATAGAGATTGCCACTTACTGCATTTCCAGACTGCGATTGCACTTGGTCGCAGTTTGGTGTTGTGTTTTAGCGTGTCAAATGGCGAAGATGATTCCCGCGTCCATCAATTTGATAATCTCCGCTCGAACAAAAACCTCCAGGTTTGGTGTCAATCTCTGCTGGGGTTGTCTCACCGGCCGAATCTCATCCTCCAATAATATCCGGTGGGAACAGAAAGAAGGGTTGAACCCCGGATATTGGTAATCTTTCATGCCATAGCCCACTCGTACTGCTTCAAGAGGGCCGCCAGTCTGGCCTTCTGCTCGGGTGTGAGGGTCGAGCTGATGATGACTGGAAGCTTGTTCCCCTCCCGGAGAAATGCATACTCCAAGTGAGAAGGGAGGGGCTTCAGCACCAGTTCTGGTGGTTCCTCCGGAGTGGTGGTGATGCGGGCCGAGGATGAGATCGGCTTGAACGGCTTCTCGACCTCCAGGAGCTCGCCATACTCCAGTGCAGCCAACTGCTCCTCAAGTTGTAGCTCCTGTGATGCATGTTCACCAAGCAAAATACAACGCTCAATGGCATCGTCAGTACCCGCACTCATGATGGAGAGTGCGGTTTCAAAATTAGCAAGTGTGTCACAGTAATCCAAGTCATCATGCATATGAGAATGTTTCGTATTGTCAGACACAAAAAATATAGCTTGTTCATCCCCAGCCCGCAAAATTAACTTGCCACTATGCACATCAATTAACTCCTTGGCGGTGGCGAGAAATGGTCTACCCAAAATCAAAGGTACATCCACATCCTCATTTATATCCAAGATAACAAAATCCACAGGATATGTGAATGCACCCACATTAACAAGCAAGTCCTCTATGAATACTCATCCTAGTTGTTTTAGGTTCACCTAGGCCTAGCTTCTTAAACAGTTTATAAGGACTTTGATGCTAGCGCCTAGGTCCGCCAAGGACTTTCCTACATGCATGCTGCCAATAAGAAGAGGGATAGTAAAACTCCCTAGGTCTTTGCGCTTCTCTGGCAGCTTGTTCTGCAGGATTGGAGAACACTCCTCGCTTAGCATCACTGTCAATTGATCCCCAAGTTTCTTCTTGTTGATGAGGAGATCCTTCATGAATTTGCGTACTTGGGCATCTACGATAGTGCCTCCACGAACGGCATGTTGATGTTGACCTTCTTCAATATTGTCATGAATTTGGCAAACTTAGTCTCCAGCTTGTCCTTGTGCATACGAGTGGGGAAGGGAATCTAGGGAACATGCTCCTTAACCACTGGTTGTGGCTTGGGAGCAGGTGCTTCCTTCTCTATCTCCACCTCTTCATCTTCAGCTGGAAGTGCTGGAGCAAGTGTTGGTTCCTCCTGCCTAGCCGGAGCATGTATAGCAGATGTCATCTTGCCACTTCTTGTAGTGATGACATCTAACTGCTGGTGAGACTCATGGGGATTTGGGATGGTGTTGGCAGGTAGAGTTCCCGGTGCCCTAGTGTTGTTGTTATGAGCGATTCCTCCAATCTGGTTCTGGAGGTCCTGCAAAATAGCACTCTGGTTTCTCTGACCTTCCTCCACGAGTTTGAGATTGTTTGCTTGGTTTAATATACCAACTGGCCGTTCTCACGAGTTCGGATCTGTTTGATCGATTTCCGCTACTATCATTTATTTTCGTGTTATTGAAGTGTCTTATCAACTAGAGATTTTTTTAAAGTATAATTTAAAATTCAGTCAAATTTCGACTATATCGATTGGCCTTATCTACGGGTTCGAGATTGTTTGGTTGGGTTAATATACCAACTGGCTCTTCTCACGAGTTCGTATATGTTTGATCGATTTCATTACTATCCTTTATTTTTGTGTTATTGAAGAAAGAAGAAAACCCCAAAAGAGTTCGACGTTGCGCAATTCTGATTTTTGGTCCAAGTTTGTGTGGATTCTCGAATTAGGATCATATCAACACCTCTGTCACGAGAGTTCCTACCTCTGGTGATCTGCCCCCAAGAATGATCTCTGGCGGCCAAAGTATTGATCATCTGATTCAGCTCGAGTGGAGTCTTAGTGAGAATGTCTTCCCCCGGACATAAAGACTCAATCAATCTCTGACTCTCCGGAAACAGAGCACTATAGAAGTTGCCCACAGTGAATGCATCACTAAAGCTGTGATGGGGACACTTCCAGAACAGACACAAGTACCGCTCTAGAGCATCTCACAGCGACTCATCATCTTCTTGGCGGAAATGAATGATCTCCCGTTAAATCTCTGAGGTCTTAGAGGCTGGATAGTACGAACTTGATGGCCGGATCTTCCCAAGAAGTGATGGACAGTGCTGACAAAGTCTCTAGCCACCTCTTCGCATGCCCCACCAGGGAGTGGGGGAAGAGGTGAAGACGGGTCGCGTCATCTGGGACGCCGTTGAGCTTGAACCCATTGGTCAGCTGCAAGAATCGAGAAAGATGCACCCTCGCCTCTTCATCCTTAAGACCATGGAACTAGAAGGAAGATGTAATCAACGGGATCCAACATGGCTTGATCTCGAAGTTGTTGTCGGGGATGGGCAGATACTGGATGACAAGGCGGATATCAGGGATCCGTGGAGTGTAGAAATACTCCATAGTGGGCCCTTAGGGAGGAAGTTGCATGTTGGCAGCGTCTGCCTATGGAATACCGCCATTAGGTGGGACTTGACTCACCGGAGGAACCTGGAGTGGCATCCCCAGGGGTTGTCCCTAATTCATGTTGTTCATCTGGTTGTTCTTGTCTCCCATGTCGTCCTCCTGCTCGGAGTTGCTGCTAATCCGACCATCAATCTACTCTTTTGTCGTAGCCAGTATCGCTCGCTGCACTCGCCTAACCTGACGACAAGTGCGTTCTAGCTCCGTATTTAACGGTAGTAGTGCTCCCAACTAGCTACGGGTAATGCACTACCACCACACAACTAAGCAAGCAAACCCGTGAAGGCACACAGGGGGAAGAAAAACTAGTGAAAAATAAATGCTAAAGTAACAGATGTTCACGTTTCTCCAATAATCTAGAGGCGTCCCCCCTGCAACGGCGCCAAAAACTTGACACGCTAAGACCAAGTATAATCGCATAGTGGAAATGCAGAATAGTGGTAAGTCTAATTATCGACCCGGTCTCTAGATCTACTGCCTACTCAATGAACTCCTATTATCTAGCAGGACTAAGCTAGTGTAATGATTTTAGTACAAAAGAAACAAAAGCAAGTAATGGTGTGGTTCTTTTCAGGTTCAAAAGGTCATCCAGGTATGGTTACCCCTAGTGTGCAGCTAGTTCAGGTTATACGGTCCCAAATTACTCAGATTGATAGATAAACCGCGGGAAGTTCTTTACCATTCTGGACTCTCGACTAAAGTTATCCTCACCCTCTTGATTCGAATATGCGGCGGGCGACTAACATGTTGGGAGAAACGTGTTATTAGCAACAAGGTCATATGTTGTGTATGGAAGAGAAACTTACCTGTTATGTAGGGCTTTCCGGGTGCATTGTGTTGCTGATTAAGGAAAGCAAGCAAATGGCAAGTAAACTAAAAGAAGGAACTTCCCGTGGCTGTGGGATTCAAATATGAAGATGCTTACCATTTATGGGGAAGATTTGGAATAAACTCAACATGGAAAGAATGTTCAATATGCAACGGTAAGATTTTGTACGAGTATAAAAGGGCTTCTGGGTAGATAGGTTGGGCACCTTTCCGGGAGATCAAATACTAGAGAGCGAGATTTGCTAAGAGTGTTTTTGTAGGAAATGGGTTCAAGCATACGGGGAGTTGCTTGGTTCAAGCATCGGTTAGATAGCTTGGGTTACGTGTTGGGATACACGGGTTTCGATTGACGGGGAGTTAATCGAGGTGACAGTACTGAGAAATACCGTGTTGTTCATTTGTAAACCAAAGAGCATCAAAGACATATCCTTAGTAGATCGTCGGAGATCACAAAGTCGTGAATCTCCGATCGTGGACTAGTCAGTGTTGAGATTCTATTTCTCTCAACACTGGAAACCACGTAAAAATTGCTTGTGTTCTTTTACTTCTGCATTTCAGTTCTGCATACTCTATTTTTGTGCTCATGCTATGTTCTTCGTCCGAAGTTGTGCATATATGATATAGCTTGTTTTGATCGAAAAAGTAGTAAAGAGGAAACTAAATTGCATAGACCAGGAAACCGAATCGTACCGTCCGGTTCAACCAGTTCAACCGGAAATTGGACCAAAAGCGGTACGGTGGGCTTATTGTGCTGACGTTACCGTGCCGGCCGGTTTTTTCGGTTTGACCGGTTCAACCGACCGGTACGATCCGGTTTCCTGGTCTATGATTCAGCTTCATTTCTCCGTATTCTCGTCCAATATGTGGAAAATAATTAAAAAGAATATTATTTTGCTATTTTTCTATGTTGAAAATGGGTCACCGTGGTTGTATAATGCTCTATTTGGTTCTTTTTTTGATGTATTATATTTTTTATACTATCGCATTTCATTTCTCTATCAATAGTGAAAAACGGTATTTACCGGTACAAAACGGTTAAATCACGGTCGTACCACAAAATACCATACCAGAAAGGAATCCGGTATGATGTCCGGTACGGTTTCCTTTACCATGCTAAATTGGTGTTTAACTTAAACGCGTGTGTTTGGAATTGGTTGCTGCCTTTTTAATCAGAGTAAAAGTGAACCTACTGATTACTTTAAAACTCGTCTTTGCTTGGGCTCTTTCAAAAACGAATTTAACTCATCTTGTGGGCTTATCATCCATAGTGGCCCATTTGCATTTCTCTACTAACGACAAAAACACTTTTCTAAGTTTGCTAGGGTGATTGTTTAGATCAAAACTTCCATCTTTTATCATCCCAAACTATTCCTTTTGAAAAAACCCAGATATCGTAGATTGCAGAAGCTGCAGGTGAGAGACGGGAATAGAAAAAGTGAAGACCTTCCTCTGGGGAATGGATGATGAGCTTTGTCTTGTTGTGCAAAACGGTCTTCTCGATATGGATGCCGATAATCAATCGGAATGGAGCGCTACTCAGAAAAAGAACGCCCAATTGAATCAGCGCGCAATGCATGTGCTTCAATCGGCAATGTTGCCGGAGGAAGCCGATAAGGTCGAGCATTGCGAGACAGCGGGATATCTGGACTTCCCTGGAAAGCACCTATGAAGGTACCTCTAATATAAAAGATACGCGTATCGATTTACTTATGCATGATTATGAGGCCTTTGTTATGACATCTGACGAACCATTCATGAAATGTATTCCAGATTTACTGTTTTAATAAATAAACTCAACGGGCGAGGAAGAACATTTGAATCAAAAAACCTAAACAGGAAAATTCTCATATCATTGCCAAAAGAGTGGTTGCCCAAACACACTGCTATTCAGGAAGCAAAGGATCTGAGAACGTTGTTTATAGATGAATTAATTGGTTCACTGCTTAGTCATGAACACGTCATAGAACAGGTAGGTAGAGACGATGATAAACGTCGGAGGAGTCTAGCTTTTAAAACTCATTTTATGGACTTTTGAGTCTGATATTGATTCAAATTCTAATTTTGAGGAAGAATTTGCCTTAACTAGCAAGAAGTTTCACCGTATGTTAAAATATAAGAATGAACTAAAGAAAAGTAATTCGAATAAAGAAAATTCTTTTGAGCGTGACAAATTTGTTCAAGACAGGTTGCCTTATCAGCAGACCAGAGAAACAAGTGCAGGTTTGCAGAATAAAGATCCACAAGCATGTTACAAATGCGGAAAGAGTGGACACATCAGATCAAACTGCCCCCTGACACTTAAGGCAAAAGAAAAAGTCATGATGGCCTCATGGAGTGACTATGAATCTGAGTTAGAGAATGAGCATGCCGATGAAGAAGCCTTCATGGCTTTCTCCTTGGATCCTGAAGGTAAATCTTCTAGACCAACTACTGAATGTTCTTTTAAAACAGCTACTATCAAGGTAAAGTCAGCCTCCGAATCATCCATGGTAAATTCTAACAATTTCCTGTCTGCTCTAAAAAACCTAGAAGATGAGTGTCGCAGCTTAAAAGTTAAGTATTGTTGTCTTCAGTAAGAGGTTCGTAAAAAGACTGCTGATGTCGTCAACCTTACTCGAACCACGGAGTTAAACAACATTAAGATTGTTGAGTTGCAACGTGAAAATGTGGTCCTTAGAATGGACAAGAATCATCTATATATGTTGTTAGAACATAGATCATCTTATGCTTCTTCCTCTTGTGACAAAACAACTAGTATGTCAGCATTTAAAGAACCTAACAAAGTCATAAAGCACCTTACAAGTCAATCTCGGTTCCATTCTGCTAAGGTTGTTAGTAGAAGAGTAAATCATTCCACATCGAATGTCAATCACAACCATATGCATAACAGGTTGCATTGTGATAAGAAGAAGACCAATCTTAGACCTAATCAATCTCGTCATAATAGCTATAACAAGGTTGGTTTATTAAACTGTTTTACATGCTTACAACCTGGTCATGTTAGTAGAAATTGTCATAAAGCTATTCCTCGGTATTCATGGCATTGGAAACCCATACTCAAACAAGTTTGGGTTAAAAAACAAACTGATATTTGAGATTTCAGAAGTTGCGATTGGGAGCTGAAGGAAGCCATAGGCTTCTCAACAATGAGAGCTCCTACCATATGTTAAGTAAGACGTTAAATTTCTGCTGCAATTTTTTTTCTTTATGTTGCTAGCGCACGATAACTCTTAGGATTGGTTGGATTGTGCTTGATCTTAGGGGGAGACTAAGACTAGAATTCTCTATGTTTTATATCTGGATTTTAATGATTTGATTGTTGATTCTTGATGATATTTTCTGTCTTACTCATATGGTGATTAACTATTGGTTCTGAGTTTTGATCTTTATGCTTTAGCTTATTTGCAATACAGTATTGGTAATGCATTTGGTCTTGAATGATTTTATTCTTACAAATGAGTTGTTGTGCCAATCTAGGAGTCATGTCTAATGTCTTCTATTGTGAGACTCAGCTCGTGGAGTATTGCATAATTAGGAGGGTGAAGTGATTAACTAGAGTCTTTAGCTAAGTGAGATTTAGAAGTCTAAGTAAAGTCTCATTCTGTAAGTTGTGTTTCCTTCTATCAGGAACCTTGTGTCTCTTTTGCTTAAAATCAAGGGGGAGAAATATGGAACACTTAGTTTTTATGTGATTTTGATCAAAGTAAAGGATTTAGTCCAAGATGTTTCTTACGGATCAGCTTTAAGGGGAGCAAAACTGAATGCTGGTGTTTATGTCACTTTGCTAACATTTTAAGATCATGAGGCTAGAATTTAGGAAGAGCATGTTAAGTAATCCAACAAATTGATTGTTGAATATGAGTTATCTTTAAGTCTCTATTTCCATTAAAGCAAATGAAAGTAAACTCTAGAAGTTTATCTTAACTGATCAAAAGGCTGTAATGTTGCCTCCTTATATCCAACACTGTCCTGTCATAGTTAGCATTGCTAATATCAAGTTTAGGGGGAGATTGTTGGAATAAAACTTGTCATTAGCAAACCTTGGTCATATGTCCAACAGCTAAGTCAAGTTTTATCTAATATCACGTTTACGGAGAGATTGTTGGGAGAAAAGTGTTATTAGAAACAAGGTCTTATGTTGTGTATGGAAGAGAAACTTTCCTGTTATGCAGGGCTTTCTAGGTGCATCATTTTGGTGATTAAGGAAAGCAAGCAAATGGCAAGTAAACTAAAAGAAGGAACTTCTCGTAGCTGTGGGATTCAAATATGAAGATGCTTACCATTTATGGGGAAGATTTGGAATAAACTGAACATGGAAAGAATGTTCAATATGCAATGGTCAGATTCTGTAAGAGTATAAAAGGGCTTCTGGGTAGATAGGTTGGGCACCTTTCCGGGAGATCAAAATACTAGAGAGCGGGATTTGCTAAGAGTGTTTTGGTAGGAAATGGGTTCAAGCATACGAGGAGTTGCTTGGTTCAAGCATCGGTTAGATAGCTTGGGTTATGTGTTGGGATACATGGGTTTCGATTGACGGGGAGTTAATCGAGGTGACGGTACTGGGAAATACCGGGTTGTTCATTTGTAAACCAAAGAGCGTCAAAGACATATCCTTAGTAGATCGTCGGAGATCACAAAGTCGTGAATCTCCGATCGTGGACAAGTCAGTGTTGAGATTCTATTTCTCTCAACACTGGAAACCACGTAAAAATTGCTTGTGTTCTCTTATTTCAGCATTTTAGTTCTGCATACTCTGTTTTTGTGCTCATGCTTTGTTCTTCGTCCGAAGTTGTGCATATAGCTTGTTTTGATCGAAAAACTAGTAAAGAGGAAACTAAATTGGTGGTTAACTTAAACGCGTGCATTTGGAATTGGTTGCTGCCTTTGTAATCAGAGTAAAAGTGAGCCTACTGATCACTTTAAAACTCGTCTTTGCTTGGGCTCTTTAAAAAACGAATTTAACTCATCTTGTGGGCTTATCATCCATAGTGGCCCATTTGCATTTCTCTACTAACGACAAAAACACATTTCTAAGTTTGCTAGGGTGATTGTTTAGATCAAAACTTCCATCTTTTATCATCCCAAACTATTCCTTAAAAAAAAAAACCCCAGATATCGTAGATTGCAGAAGCTGCAGGTGAGATAGACAGGAATAGAAAAAGTGAAGGTCTCCGCCAACAGTACCAATATAACCTCCACCGACATACACTAACCAAGGTTAAACACAATAAACTTCCACTACTGGCCTTTTTTCCAGTACGGAGAAGTGAATCGACTTCTCAACTAAAGCAGTCGATTCACCACTTCAAATTAAAGGTTGCTCTTTTAACCTATGCAAAGGCTATCGTTCTAGATTAAAGCCGGAATTGCCCAGGTTTGATCCGGACTCATGCAATTCTGAATAATTCCTCAACTGAATTTATCAAATCAATCATTCATAACATGAGGTTCATACAATCATTCCTAACACACACATCTAGGGTTCTTCATATCTCGGAGTACCAATTAGCCACCAGGAGAAGTTGCTCATTGTCGTTCTGATGATGTCTACTCTGTGTAGGCCGTTATTAGAAGCCTATTATAAGGGGTAGGGGAGGTTTCCGGTTGTTAATCACTTTTAACGACTGCTTCTTCTATCGTTAAAATCACATTTTTGTAGTGTAAGTAGAGGAATGACCAACTCATGGCGATGAAGTGTATGTTTGCAGCATTACAATATTTTTCTTTTGCCAAATCCTTTGGTTTCAAACATACTCCCCAACTTCTCCAGTCACCATCATCGCCGCCACGACAATGTCGCCGTCATCCACCGCGGCGACGACAAGGTCAGCAACATGTTCAACGACGACAACGTCAACGCCACTTGCTCAGCGAACCTTCCTTCTAAGTCTTTGGGAATGAGATTTGTGGTGCGAGTTGGAGAAGAGAGTGTGTTACTGAAAAACCAGAGTGCAACTCTGATTTCGGGGGCCTCTTGCTGAATAAGCAGGCGCAACTCTGATCTCGGGGGCCTCCTGTCGCCGCCGAGCTCCACCAGATGCTCAATCTCCCCGGGATGAAGTGCTCCCGGATGATCAAGGGAGTTCGAAAAAATGATAACCACTGCCGACGGTGCTACCCCGTGAACTAGAGAGAATTGATATCGTTCCCCACCGAAACCAGTCTTCTCCGGCTTCCGTTTCCTAAAATTTACGGTAACGCCGGCGACCTCCGATGATGGGCTTAATACGCGCACATTATAGAAATTTTATTATTACTTTCTTAATCAGTGCATTATTCAATTTAATTATTCTTCTAATTGTTTTTAATTATCTTCCTATTCTAGTTTTCATATATAGTCTTTTATTTCCTCCTCAATTAGTGCGTGGGTTTGCATTCAGTACATTTACTATTTTGGGTTAATAGTATTTTCTACCCCTCTATATTGATAAATTAACAAATTTACCCTTCTATTAAATTTTTGCACAAACATATCCTTCTAATATTAAATCATAACAAGTTTACCCTTCTATCTAGTTATCCATTAAGTGACCGTAAATAGGTTAAGAAATGACCAAATTGCCCATGGTTTACTCCTAAGTTCAGTTTTGATTATTTATGACCATGATCAATTAATTAGAAAAAACTCTAAACTAATGTAGAAGTTCCCGAGTGAGAGACCATTCGTCTCCCTCACGTCTCCCTGACGCCTGTTCCCTCATCTGCTTGCCGACGGCACCTGCTCCCGCATCTCCTCGTCGGCGGCAGCTGGAGTAGAGAGAATCACAATCCCGACGTTGATGCAAGCTGCCGGCATTGAAGGTCGGCTTTCTCTGGTTCGGAACTCGGCGTTGTGCCTTCGGTTCGGGTGTGCAGGGGGTGGGGGAATTGGCAAGGGAAGGAGATTCGTGTTTTGGTTTTTTTCCAATTAATTGATTTATTTTATTTTTCTAATTAATTGATAATGAACATAAAGAATAAAATAATTAAAACTGAAATTAGTAGTAAATGAGGGGAACTTTGGTCATTCCCAACCTATTTAATGGGTCACTTAACGGAAAATTACATGGAAGGGTAAACTTGTTACAATTTAATATTAGAGGGGTATGTTTGTGCAAAATTTTAATAGAGTGATACGTTTGTTAATTTGCCAAAGTAGAAAGGTAGAAAATGCTATTAACCCTTCTATTTTCATTATCAAGCTTTATAATTGCTCGAACAAATCTTTCATTTCTCCTATTATTTATAATTACATTTTTTAGTTCAAATTAGTCTTTGTTAGCTCCTTAATCACTACATTATTTTACCAAAGGTAAGATAGCTTAACGGTAAACCTGCCACGACAGTGAAGACTTGAGAGTTGCAAATCCCAGGTTCAAATCTAGGCGAGGCTCGTTGGTGTTCCCGGAAGTACAAGGCTGCTGGGGGCAAAGCCCCGTTGGCGTCGAATTTGATGGCAGGTGCCCCCAAGATTTAGTAGGAACCGCTATCACAAAGTGGCACGTGGGGGTGAGGTTCCTGGGTAATAATAAAAAAATCATTACGTTATTTTCGCTAGGTGAGGATATTCAATTTTTAATAATTTAATTCTTTCTTAGTTATAATGTCACTTTTATAATTGCTTTTTTACTTAAATTGGTTTTTAATCTCTCGAGTTGAGTTATTTTTAGGATAGATATTTCTATCACCAAATTGATTTTCTTTTTTTGCCCGTTGTTTTTCAGGGGAATCATAAATTCATTTCAATGGTCTTTTGAATATGAATCAACCTCACTCACTAGCAGGGCTATCTTGGAGATGTTTTTTATTTCATTTTGTGTCAATATCGCGTCCTTTGCTTGTCGGAGCTTTTCTAAAGCTGCCCGTGTAGTGGCAGAAAATACTCTTTCATCGATAGTTCTGTTGCTTACGGACTACCGAGTTTGGTCATTGTCGTTTTGTAATTTGTTTTTGTTGGTTCGAGCCTTCTTAATATATCTTGGACAAAAAAAAACCCTACACACCAGTTATAATTATTCAATTCATCCTTAATTCCTTATTGTCATCTGTCAGCAATTGAATCAGTGGCAAATTAACTTGTAGCTAGGGATGGCAACTTTGCCCATACCCATGAGTTTCTTACTATCCAACCCAATTGGGTTGGGTATGAAATCCAAATAGATGGATATGGGTAGACTTTGATGGGTTTGTACCAATACCCATTTACTTTGGGTTGAGTTGGGTTTATATCAAATGGATTTGGGTTTGTACCCATGCCCAAATACAAGTTACAGTTTGGTACCTAAACTTAATAGATATGCATATTTAGTACCTAAATTTAATTTTTTTTGCATATAAGTCCTCAAAATATCGATGGAAAATTACGTTTTGGTACCTAAATTTTTTTGGTCTTACATTTTGGTACCTACATTTTTTAAAAACTTTTCAAGTTTTACAAATAGGTCCAATTTTTGCATGTGTAGTTAAAACACCCTCAAGTAAATGGATATCCATATCCAACCCATACCCATTTACATTATGGAAACAATATTCATAATCATACCTTACCCAAACCCATCTATAAACTCACAAACCCATATGCACTTCACCCATACCCAACCCATTATCAATGGGTCTACTTGGGTTTGGATATAATTACCCATGGGTGGGTAATTTGCCATCCCTACTTGTAGCCAACAATGATCATTGTCTGTTTCATCTCTTGCCTAAATTATTTTTATCAACTCCCAAGCAATTTATCATTGTTTCTAAACGGTTGTTCGCCCGTGAACTTTCTTTTAACCTAAACGAACGGCATCACATTTCTTAAAACAAGTTTGCTCCACATAAACTTGTCCAACATAAACTCTTCTAGTGAGAAATTAGCAACAAATTAACCA